AGCTAAGGTCTGTGGGTCTCCTGGGCTCCAAAAAGAGAGGAGAGTGGAGGGAGGAAAACTCACTATAGCAATTCCAGACCCAAGTCAAAGAGTTGAATGTCATGAAAGGGAGCCCCAGGGAAGATCTGTGGTACTTTCCCAATTGCCCCATGTTACCTGCAGATGATGTAATGAAGGCACCAGGCAAACTCCACAGCGACCCCAGGGTTCAGCTTTGGGCCAGGTTGCAACATTTGTAGCATGTGCTGAGGGAGAGTGGAGGCCAAGATGGAGCTGCTGGCAGAAGCAAGGCTGTGAGTAGGAACCACGAAGATGCCAGTGGCTCTTACCAAACCCTGATAGCAGGTAGGAAAGTGTCCAGACCCAAAGCCCTGCCCAGATGGGAAAGTGTCCAAACCCAAAGCCCTTCCTAGCCAAACATATGAAGTTAAAATATGCAACAGCTTTGGAAATCATTCAGGCATCCGGGAGCTATACTACTACTGAGTGGGTCACCTCTGGCTGCACATCTAAAGACAATTTTACTCACGGAATGATCTTCTCTGGAGCTTCCTTAGCCTGTAGAAGCTGGGACAAGGCATATCCAAGAGCTTCTAGCACAGCCACATGGGGGGACTGAAAGTAGACAGGGTAAGGATCTGACTGGAAGCTGGGTCATAAGGTCTTCAGAGACTTTCAGCCCCTTGGCACAGAGCAGAGGCTGCAGCTACCTAACCAAAGTAGATGGAGCATGTGGGAAGGAGCAAAGGAAGGGTTGCCCAGGGAGGAAGAAAGGAGTCACCTGAATGCAGGCAGCCAAGGCTGGAACAATGCCCTGTGGCAGGAGCTGCCTTCTCACAGCCTCACTCTCCACGATCAGGTTACCCAGTGTATACAGACACAGCTCCTGAGAACAGGCAACAAAAGCACTGGGCTTGGCCTGTTTCATGCCAGGCTGGGTGTGGGGAGATGGGGAGGGGAGGTGATGGGGACACTGGAGCAGCTATCCTTGAGGCTCACAAGAGGGTGGGGAGATGATGGGTGTAGGCATGGCTGTAGGCATAAGGGCAAATATGTTTTCTTCCTCCTACTTGCCAGCTCAAACTGGTCCCAAAAGCACAATTTTAAAATCTAAACCAAGAACAAGATAGAAAGGGACAGGGCTTACTATGAAGTCTGAGCTGTGACCGGAGAGGTAGGTGAGGAGGTAGGAAGTAGCTGGCAGGCAGGCCTCAGCAATGGTGGACTGCTCAGAGTGAGAAAGCTCATGCAGGCACCGAGCCGCCTCAAGCTGCAGCAGAGCCTGGTTGCTGGTCAGGAGCCCGACCAGGGTCCGCATGCTGCCCTCCAGCCTACGTGAATGAGTACCAGAGCCCTGCTTAGCTTGTGGCCCATCCCTCAGAGCCCCAGCTCCCCCCTCCCCCACACCACCCACACTGACTGGATGAAGGTTTGCTGCGTTTCAGGGTGCTGCAAGCCTCGACGAAGGCTAATCAGAGCCCCCTCTCTCTCCTTTTCTTCTGCACCCCGCTGGGCTTGCCGCAGGAACTGCTGCACCTGGAGTTCAGGGCAGGGAAAGGAGAACACATAGTTCCCAGAAAGCAAGTTCTAAGTTTCTCTCTGCCCACTTCACCTGTGAGCCTTCCAATATCATACCACCTCCAGAACTTGTCATTCACACTAATGCAACTAATAAGCATCTACCTTGCAGTGGAGTGGACAGAGAATCAGAACTGAGTTCTAATACCATACCTGCCACTCACTCCACATGGGACCTGAACTTAAGTTTCCTCACCTGAAAATGAGAATAACAATATCTACCCTGCCTTCATACAAGGTTCTTTCAAGGATATTTAAACCTCTCAGCCTGGCAAAACCTACTCCTCCAGCCATTCTCCCCATGCAACCTACAGTCTAACAACAACTAGCACAACATTAGCCTTTTTTTTTTTTTTTTTTTTAACACTTCCGAGCTTTTGCACATGCTATTCCTTCTGCCTGGATACCCTCTCCAGCTTCCCACTCTTTTCAGATTTCTGCTCCTCATTCCCTCTGGGAAGTTAGCTCTTTTTGAGAGACTTAGGAGTTTCTTTTGTTCCTCATGTTTCCTTCCCTTATGACATGTCTTCTTCACTGGGTTGTGAGCACCTCAAAGAAAGGGACTTCATCTTTATGTACCTCAGTGACCGGCCCAGTATCCTGGCATAAAGTAAGCACACAATGGAATAGTACAACCTAGAAATAAGTTGACAATATATACGTCAACATAGTATGTACCATAAACTATGTATGTAAACATAATACAAATATAGGGGATACTCAATGCTTGCTGAATAAATCCTTTCATTCACTCATTCAATAAATACTAAGCACTTAACTATATGCCAGATAATGTGCAGGCAACCGGGTTTTCAATGATAACAAATAACACAGGATCTAGGTTTTCCTGCAATTAAAGTCTAGTTGGAGAAAGAACAATAAACAAGTCATTAGATAATGATTAATATTTTACAAGAAACAAGTAGGTGGCCGGGCACAGTGGCTCACGCCTGTAATCCCAGCACTTTGGGAGGCCGAGGCGGGTGGATCACGAGATCAGGTGTTCGAGACCAGCCTGACAAACATGGTGAAACCCCGCCTCTACTAAAAATACAAAAATTAGCCGGGCATGGTGGCGCGCGCCTGTAATCCCAGCTACTCAGGAGGCTGAGGCAGGAGAATCGCTTGAACCCGGGAGGCGGATGTTGCAGTGAGCCGAGATCATGCCACTGCACTCCAGCCTGGCAACACAGCGAGACTCTGTCTCAAAAAAACAAAACAAAACAAAAAAAAGGTTCTCAAGACAGAATACCAAAAGAAACCCACATTAGACGTAGCGAATGCCAAGGGCTTGAGACACAAGGGTCCGATATATCGTTGCAGGAACTGAAAAGGGGACAGTGGCTAGGATGAGAAAACTGATAAAATTAGAGTTAGGAAGAGGCTAGACCATGCTATGATTTGCAGGGCACAGGAAAGATTTTGGTCTCCATGTGTTTTTAAAGGACGTATTGACGGCGACAAGCATAGATGCAGGGTGACCTTTTAGGAGACTGCAGTAGTATCCAGAGAGGTAGTGGTGGCAGCTTCGATGGTGAAGCATGTAAAGACTCCAAAGCTCTTCAGGAGGTAAACAACTAGGACTTGATGATGGACTGATATGGGGTTGAGGGTCAAAGAGTTGTGCAGGATGATTCCCCTGTTTCTGGCTTGACCCACTGGATGCATGGAAGTGTAGAGTGGATTGCGTTCAGGTTTGGGGCAGACCTCGAGTACTCCCGGGAGTCTGGCGCCAGTGGCGTGGGCTCCAGCGCACCCTGCCTTGCCCCCTCACCTCGGCTTCCCCGAGGATCGCAGCCACACATCCCTCTCCAGCTTCCTCTGGGGCGTCTTCTCTCAGCAGCCTCTTGCTGACCAGCTGCTGCTCCCTCCGCGCCTTCCGCAGTGCTGGGGGCAGAGGAACGGGCTGAGCGTGGGAAGGACGACCGGAACCCAGATCCCGCGGCTCCAAGCCTGAAGTCTCAACCTATCTCCGACCGCTATATGCCCCCGCGCTCCCTTGGCCGCCCACACCTGCCTCCTGCTCCCGCCGGCGGCGCCGTAGCTCCTCCACCGCGCAGACTGTGGGCCTAAGGCGGCCCTGCCGTCGGCTCCACATGGTAGAGCAGGAGGAGGAACGCCGCAGGAAACAGCCGCCACAACGCTCCCAGGGGCGTAGACGATGGCACCGACTGCGCAGACTCAGCACAGGGAAGAACCAGGCGGGGAAGGCGCCAGGAGCGGGGTGGGTGCTGGATGAGGGCGGGGCTCGGCGAGTGGACGCTGCGCGGGAACGGTGGGCGGGGTGAGGGCTAGAGACGCTGCACCACCAGACCAGAGCCAGAGGCGGCGCTCCGCCTCTGATTGATTTGTCTTATCAATTTTAGGAAAAGAAGTCACTCATCCCTTACCTCAAGTGCCCCAAGCCAGCGGTGTCACAATCTACTCAGCAAACACAACTTCCCCACCCACAATGCGCTCTAGATGAACGTTCAAAACAACCCTGAACTCCAGGAAGCGCCACGATGCCATTTCACCATTAATGCGGATCCCACTGATAAGAGCTGCCAGAAACGCTTGAAGCGTCATTGAATTGTCAACGAAGAGTCAAACTCTGTAAAATATTTGAAGAGACTTATTCTGAGCCAAATATGAGTGACCATGGCCCGTGACACAGCCCTCGGGAGGTCCTGAGAACATGTGCCCAAGGTGGTCCAGTACAGCTTGGTTTTACATATTTTAGGGAGATATGAGACTTCAATCCAATTCATTCAAGAAATACACTGGTTGGGCCGCGCGTTGTGGCTCACGCCTGTAATCCTAGCACTTTGGGAGGCCGAGGCGGATGGATCAATTTAGGTCAGGAGTTTGAGACCGGCCTGGCCAACATGGTGAAACCCCATCTCTACTAAAAATACAAAAATTAGCCGTAGTGGTGGGTACCTGTAATCCCAGCTACTCCGGAGCCTGAGACAGGAGAATCGTTTGAATCCGTGAGGCGGAGGTTGCAGTGGGCCGAGATCGCGCCATTGCACGCCAGCCTGGGCTACAAGAGCGAAACTCCGTCTCAAAAAAGAGAAAAAGAAAGAAAGAAATGTGGGATATGATGAGGTTTCTCTTCAAATAATTAGATCAATCTTTTATTCTTTAATTCATAGTACCCCACACACACACCTTTTTTCCCCTTTTTCTCCTTTTTTTTTTTTCCTTTTTGCCTTCGTTAGATGCCCAGGCACGCCACAGTACCAGGCGTTATCTGTACCAGCTCACATTCCTTTCTTTATTTGGAAAGAGGACTAACTTTGTAGTTCATTACAGGCACCCCTTCCCCTTCCTCTCCACTTTCTTTTAAGTGTCCACCTTATCTAAAAAATTCAAGTGTTTAGCCAACCGGGATTAGTTTAGATTGTATGACCCGCAGGACTTGCGTCAGGAATAAAGGCTCTCGTGCCCCTTTGTTCAGGTGTGCTCTCATGGCGACTGGCCAAACAGACACCCCTCTGCACAGAAGTAAAATTGCTTTGCTAAGAATCCTTTGTTCGAGTGTTCAATTTCCCTTAGGATTTTGGGTGTTGTTCCTAACAGAAAGAAGGAAAGAAAGAAGGAAAGGAGGAAAGAAGGAAGGGAAGGGAGGGGAGGGGAGGGAGAGAAAGAAAGAAAGACATTGGTTTGTGGGACAACACAAAGGCGGGACAACTCAAAGTGAGGCGGTGGGGGGGCTTCCAGCTTATAGGTAGGTTTTAAATTTTTCTGGTTGACAATTGGTTGAGTTTCTCTAAGGACCTGAGATCAATAGAAAGGAATGTCTGGGTTAAGATGAAGGATTGTGGAGACCCAAGTTCCTATTTGCAGAGGAAACCTTCAAATCCTAGGCTTCAGACAGAATGGGTTGTAAAATGTTTCTTATCAAATTTAAAGTCTGTGTTGATGTTAACGCTGGAGAGGTATAATGAGGCATGTTCAACTCCCACTTCCCATCATGCCTTGAAACAGTCACTCTGTTAAATTTTAAAAGAGCCCTGGCTGAAGAGGAAGTCCATTCAGATGGTGGGGGTTGGGGGGGGGGCTTAGAATTTTATTTTTGTTTTACAGAATGTTCACCACAATGACCGTTATTCTCATTTTATACATGATGAAAATGAGAAAAATATCATTATTTCACTTCTCTGCATAAAACTGAGTTCCCATAATTTTTAGGATAAAATCTTTCACCAAATGTTGAGCGCCACTAGTCTACTAGGCACTAAGGAAACACTAGTGAATAAAAAACCATGTTCCTCACACTCAAAATTGGAATTGTGGCCAACTTAGCTCTACATGGTCTAACCCCTGCATACCTCTCCAATCTGGACTCACCTCTTCTGGGACCTTCTCTTTGTTAACAAGCCCTGCTCTTTTTCTCCTCCACCCACTCCCACTCTTGGGGGAGGCTCTTGCACAAGTTGTTTTCTCTGCCTGCACCCTTACCTCTTCTCTCTACCAGCATCCTTCCCTTAACAACATTCTCAACATCTCAAGTCCAGTGTCACATACTCAGAACCATTGTACCAATGACCCAGCTTCCTCATAACCCTTTTCACAGCTATCATTAAGTTATAGTGTAATTATTTGATGTTGTCTCCTCCCAGACCCCCTTGGCAGCTCCAGATTAGGGTCCTGGTGGCACCTAAGAATTTTTACAGGAAACCTCTAATTTTTAAAAAGCTATATAACTTAGGCAAAGGTCCAATTAAGCACAAATCTAGGAAAAAAGTTATTCTTAAAACCAACTTCTTTCCCTTGACCTTAATTCTACCCCTTGGAATTAATCAATGAAGTCTGCAATCTCTTCCACAAAAGAGCACGTTAAAATATCTACAGACCATCATTCTATCCTTAATATCTTCTCTCCCAGTATCCATCCATCCATCCCCTGGACAGCTATTTATTGAGCACCTGCTGTGCACCATGCTCTGGCCAGGGACAGGGCCTGGATCTTGACCCCTTCCTCATGCAACTGTCTGGCTTCTTTTTTTAATTTTTCAATTTTTAAAAAAATTTAATTAAAAAAATTTTATTTTCTTATTTCTCCAAGAAAAACTTTTTATTTATTTATTTATTATTATTTTGAGCCAGGGTCTTGCTCTGTTGCCCAGGCGGCAGTGCAGTGGTGCAATCATGGCTTATCACAGCCTGGAGCTCAGCCTTAAATGATCCTTTCAGCTTGGCCTCCCAAAGTGCTAGAATTACAGGCATGAGCCACTGCACTTAACCCAGGCTGGCTTCTAAAACCCACACTTGGCCGGGCAAGGTGGCTCATGCCTATAATCCCAGCACTTTGGGAGACGGAGGCGGGTGGATCACCTGAGGTCAGTTGTTCGAGACCAGCCTGACCAACATGGTGAAACCCTGTCTCTACTAAAAATGCAAAATTAACCAGGTGTGGTGGCACATGCTTGTAATCCCAGCTACTCAGGAGACTGAGGCAGGAGAATCGCTTGAACCCAGGAGGTGGAGGTTGCGGTGAGCTAAGATTGTGTCATTGCACTCCAGCCTGGGCAACAAGAGTAAAACTCCATCTCAAAAAAAAAAAAGAAAGAAAGAAAACAACAACAACAACTACAACTAAACCCACACTTACTCCAGGTGGGGAAGATGAAACAAGTTCCCAGCCAAAAGCTATATTCTGCCCAGTGTCTGCTCAGACAGCTACAGCTGCCCAAACTGCCTTTCTGTATCTACCTGTCTGGCAACACTGTTAACCCTGTAAGAACCAGCCCCAGGTCCTGTCTTGTACAGGACTGGCTGTTCCTTTCTCCAGACCATGTTCCTCCCCACCTCCGCCCTCCTCCCCCAACAACACAAGCCTTTGGTTTCTCTTCTGTAAGAGCCCTCTCCACTATGGACTGCAGTTCTGGGTTCATGTTTGCTCTACCCACCTCCTGGAGCACTTCAGGGATTGTCTTGGTTATGTCTGCATCCCAGGGCTTTCTATCAACCCTAGTACTCGGTAGACAAATGGTAGATATTTGTGGAATCAAGCTGTGAGTTGGAGATCTTTGCAGAACCATCACTGCTCCTCTTAACTTGCACCTCCCCACCCCTAAGATGATGAGGTGTCAGACTTCAGGGGCCTGAGTTCTCTGAATGCAGACTCTGAGAAAGAAGACTAGTCATCAAGACTACACTGAAAAGATGTGGTTCTGTGCCAAAGACTTTACTCACAAACAGGTAATACTATCATCTCCATTTCACAAAAGGGAGGCCCAAGTCTCACAACCTCAGTGGTAAAGCTGGGATTCCAAGACTGGCTGACTTCAAGTCAGATATACTCACATCTTGGTCTTCAGGGATATCACAGAGGCCTGGCATGGCACCAGGGCATGGCCCAGTGCATTGGGGTATGCCCAACAGGACCCACAGGGGGCAGTGATGAGCCTTCTTGTTTGGACTGGGGACAAATCTGCAGCTACTTCTCAATTAAAGAGGAAGTGGGAATTTAAAAAAGACTTTCGGTTAGGCACAGTGGCTCACACCTGTAATCCCAGCACTTTGAGAGGCTGAGGCGGGTGGATCACTTGAGGTCGGGAGTTCGAGACCAGCCTGACCAACATGGAGAAACCCCATCTCTATTAAAAATACAAAATTAGCCAGGGGTAGTGGCACATCCCTGTAATTCCAGCTGCTCGGGAAGCTGAGGCAGGAGAATTGCTGGAACCCGGGAGGCGGAGATTGCAGTGAGCCGAGATTGTGCCATTGTACTCCAGCCTGGGCAACAAGAGCGAAACTCCGTCTCAAAAATTAAAAATAAATAAAAAATAAATAAATAATAAGAATACAAATAAAATAAAAATAAAAAAGACATTCAGGTCAAATGTGATGGCTCTCACCTGTAATCCCAGCACTTTGAGAGGCCAAGGTGGGCAAATCACCTGAGTTCAGGAGTGCCTGGCCAACAGAGTGAAACCCTGTCTCTCCTAAAACTACAATAATTAGTTGGGCGTGGTGGTGGGCTCCTGTAATCCCAGCTACTTGGGAATCTGAGGCAAGAGAATCGCTTGAACCTGGGAGGCAGAGGTTGCAGTGAACCAAGATCACACCACTGCACTCCAGCCTGGGCAACACAGCAAAACTCGGTCTAAAAAAAAAAAAAAAAAAAGACTTTCATATAGTTCTTTCCCCAGAGGTCTAGGGATGTGGACCTGTGAGGGCTGTTGTAACTGCATAGCTCCTTATCCTCTGGGACATTTGCTGTTTTTTCGTTTTGTTTTGTTTTCTGTTTTTGTTTGTTTTTTGCAAAACTGGTGAGTTACTAATTAATCCTCATTCAACATAGTCCCATCCCTTCCTTCCTAGGGCACAGAGATTGTACTGACAGGAGGGCAGGAGAGAGCAAGGTGCAAGTGGGAAAACTGGTTCAAAATACCTTGCTTCACAATTCAGGACAGAAAATGGATACTGTAAGTGACCCAGCGACTTGGCCAATGTGTCTCTGTTAAACATCTCCACTTTTAAGAAAGTTATTACTTAATCAAAGGAGCAAGGAAAAAAAAAGAAAGGGGGAATTTGTCTTCAGAGCAACTTCCTTTTCTTGAACCTAATTCCATCCCTTGGTGCCAACAGATGAGGTTCACAATCTCTTCCACAAAACATCCAGTTAAATATCTGAGGATAATCAGGGACTTGGATTTGGGTGGCGGGAGATCAACATAAACCAAGACAAGGAAGAAGTCAAAGAAACGAATCAAGTAGAGTCTCTGGGATATAACGTGGTGGTTTGGGGGTTTGCATAGTGCAGAGTATGGTACTGGCCTAAGGCACTGAGGATCATCTTTTTCCCATACCCACCAGAGACGCCTTAGGCGCCTAAGTCATCAGGGCATTCACCGCCTGGGGCGCTTGAGTCATCAGGACACTGCCAGGAGACACAGAACCCTAGATGCCCTGCAGAATCCTTCCTGTTAGGGCTCCCCTCCCTGAAACATCCTTCACTGCTATATTTCCAAGAAAGGAAGGGGGCTGGCTGGGAGGAAGAGAGGTGGGGAGGTGATCAGGGTTCACAGAGGAGGGAACTGAATGACATCCCAGGATTACGTAAACTTTTAGAGACAGTTCACAAGTATTCACAAGTTCACAAGTGTGAAGCC